TTATTTTATTCTTCTATACTATATTATAGTATATTTTAAAGAAACTTCTAATTTCTTCTGATACAGCTTTGATCTAATTTGCTAAGTAACCCAAACACTCTTACTAGTGTCTAATCCAGATACTTCTCTTTGGTGAAGGAATCTCTTTGGTAAACAAATCTCCATAACACATTCCACATGTGTCTGGCAGCAGGTGTAGCAAGTGAGGATCAGAATTGTTGTAATTCTTTCTCTGAGCTTTCTCAGAAAATGCCTGGAAGGTCTGTGAGAGCTGCTGCCACAAGCAGCATGTGAGCCCTGAGTGTGTTCAGGTCCTTCCTCAGGTACTGAAAACCCCCAGAAATGAGAATTTCAGGTGATGTAAAAGGGTTGGTTCTGTACTTGTGTTGGTGAAGGATATATTTAGGGAGTTGGTGGCTGCTGAGGTGCCACAGATTGTTCCTTTATCCTGTGTGGAATAAGGAGCCGTGAGGAATTGTGTGTGGGATGTAAGGGCACAGGATGTGAAATGAGATCAAGTGAGGTACACCAGATACAGATTAAAGCTGCAGCAGCAAGCAGGAGTTAAGGGGTGCCCCTGTGCTAAAGGCACACCCCAAAAATCTCTCTTATCATCTCACACTCATCCCAAATCCATCCATAAACAAGCTCTGTCAGGAGCTCTGCTCTCCAGAAATGGGAGCTGTGAGGGTGCTGTTCAGGAATTGCTCTGTGGCTCTCCTGGAAGGGTTACCAGAGTGCAGAGCAGAGAGCAGAGCTGCCTTCTGAGTTACTCAGCTGAGGCTCCAAGGATAAACATCAGCAGTACAAACAACATTCTTTTTGTAATAATAATGTCACAAAAAGAATCATGCTTTTCTTATGATTACACTTAACCCCCAGTTGATCATGATCAGTGAGTCACCCAGAAATCCAGAAACATGAACTTCTTCTGCTGACCAGATTTGAGAGAGGATTAATGAAATATTGTGAGATGATCCTAATGGGAAGGTGATTTTTTAATCTCTGCTTTTTCTTGCAGTTTCTCTGAGACAGCAGCTGAACCTCCCAGTCCCCATGAGGCCCTTGGGAAAGCAGCTGAAGCTGAAACCCCTGAGCAGCCTCTGCCTCCTCTGACCCAGCGGGAGAAGAAAGCCCCTCGACCCCCAAAGAAGAAATACCAGAAGGCTGGGCTCTACTCTGATGTCTACAAAACCACAGAGTAAGTGAAACAGAGCAAAACTGCTCTCTGAGCATCCAGGCAAAACTCTTTTTTTCACCTAAAGCCATAAAGAGCTGCCCCTCGTGAGTAGGTGAATTAAACCAATCAATTTAATTGAAGCCTGTGGAGATTTATGTGATGGTAATTGTGAGAAGCTGACCCAGTGAGGATGTGAAAGCAGCCTCAAGCAGTCTGGAAGTGTTTCTGGTTATCAGTTTTGAAGAAGATAAGAGATTTATTCAGGAGTGTGACCGGTCCTGGCAGTGCAGGATGTGAGCACAGTGTGCAGAGAAGGGCTCAGCAGGCTCCTGTTGTCATTGGCTCAGTGGTGACAAGTGCTCATCTTCTGTGTGAAAGAATGTCAGCTATGCACCCACTTCATTTCACAGCTCACTGAAGTTCATCTCTGTTTTCTCTGAGATGTTTAGGGTAGAAAAATCCAGCATTTCTTTATTTTTCCCACTGCTTGGTTTGCAGCCTGGTGTCCACTAGAATGTGAACACCTCCCCTTTCCCTTTCCTTTCCTTTCCTTTCCTTTCCTTTCCTTTCCTTTCCTTTCCTTTCCTTTCCTTTCCTTTTTCCTTTTTCCTTTTTCCTTTTTCCTTTTTCCTTTTTCCTTTTTCCTTTTTCCTTTTTCCTTT